CATTCAAAACAAAACATAGCGGAAAGTAATTATCAGAGGCTTAATTAAGCTGTTTAATATTTCACAACTCTTCGCAATACCTCCCAACTCTGTGCAATAGGGTGTTGTCTGTCATACCAATTATAACAGTTTTCATAAAGTAAACAGAGCTATGATGCAATCGATTGAGACCAACCTTGAGGAATTTTGCAATTTTGTCTCAGGGAGTGGAAGACTGTAATTACTATGATAGCCTAATAATTTATGAAGTAATTTGATGCTGACACATGGTCAACGCTATGTCATAGATATGGTGCAATTCTCAAAGGAATTAGCTGGACAGAGTGACCAGATATTGACCTTCTAGTACTGTCTGAGACCCCTTCCATGAATTTCTGTTACAAGAAGGACATGTTCCCTCTTAAAAAGCATTAAAAGATCAAGTCGTGGCATCAAATTTGATTTAAGAAATAAAGAAAACAGCCAAGGAAAAGTTTTGAGAGAATTTGATGAAAAAAATATCAAAGAAGGCTAATATTTAATAAACAGTGACAACAGAATTTTTTCATTCCCATAGGCTTCGTACAGGTACCACCTAGTTCCTGCAGGCAATGGGTTAAGTTTGGACATTTTAAAGATCCCTTAAGATTATTGCAACTCTTTGATTGTGTTTGCGAAAAAAACTTTCAGCTTCTTTTGTATTGAACATTTCCAAAACCATCCTGAATCTTAACTTTTGATGAAATCATATGTGTAATAAAGGGAATTATGTTAATTTTTGTACCAAACAGATAGAGAATAGCTCACAAGAAGAAATAATATAGTTGCTAATTGGCATGGGGATTTTCAAAAGTTCAAAGCAAAACAAAATTATCATTCATCAGATAGTTCTCAAACTTTTACAGACCAGATTCTCTAAATTTTCATATTCTATCTAATCTAATTCTCATGGTGATCAGGGTATGTACTTCTCTTTAAAACAAATGGGAAGAAATCACTAAAAACTTTAGTGCTTATCAATTTCCTGCCCCAATTAGCATATTTAAAATAAAAGGTAACACAAACAATTTTCTGGTAAATACAGAGAAAATAGAGATGGTAGGAATTTATTCCTCAAATTCAGAATATGCAATTCATTTCCCCCAGATCTCAGCCATTATAATAATTTGCTGACTGCATAGGGTCAGAGTTTGTTTTCGACGTATAATTTCAAATAAATATAATTTGTTCTTTATTGCTTTTGACATTTAAAAAACAAGTTTACTTTAAGGAATATATTTGGATAAAAGTAACAAAGTTATTGACCTTGGTGACTACCTGAAAATAGACGTCAGAGAGGAGGAAACAAATAGCTGCGTAAATAACACCAGCCAGGGAGCTAGTAGAAGGGTCACATCTCACCAGAGTAATTTACTATAGCTCAGTGCTTTGGATATGAGGGCTGTGATTGGTCAGTTGTTCTGATGACATCATCACAGTTCCCTCGGGGGAATGTGACCTGTGACAGGAAGTTAGCCAGTTTCCCTCTCTGTCTAGTCTTGGTTCTAAGCTTTGTTGAAGTAGTTATGTATATCATATGGACTTTTTAAAATAAATTATAACACTCCTTGAGTGCATTTTCGTATTAAATTAGTTTCAAATATGATTTTCTTGATGTTTCCCAGAAGGTAATGTTATAATTGAAAGGAGCAAGAGGGGATTGAATAAGCTAGGTATTATTTCCTTTCTTTTTTCTTTCCCTTTTTTCTCAATTTATTTTTAAATTGCATTTTTTGCCAAGAGACTTATTTATTTGAAGCTGATTTTTGCTAGCTTTAGTTAAGGGAGGGGGGGGGGGGGGACTTTAGGTTTCTACCAAAAAAAGTGCTATAAGAAGAGGTTTTACAGTATGATTCTATGAGATCTGTACTCTCTGAAAATGAAACACTTCCTCACTTTCAAAAGATTTAAAAAATAAAAAAACTGTCAAATTATGTGGCTTTCAGATAAAATTTTCCCAAAGGTGTTTAAGCGTGTAGTTTGATTGTCAGTCATATTGAAGGAACTATATGCACTGAAGACTACACTAGGTAGATCCTGACTCTGTATAGTACCTCTTTGATTTAGGTTCGGTTCAAAGACATCATTTTGTTCTGGTGTCAGAGTCTGTATAAGCAGACTAAGCTGGACCAGATAACATGGATATTCCAAACATAGCACCTGTCTGGGTAGAAGGAAATCTCAGTTACAGGTCCGTTTCCTATCCCTCCCAGCTAGGCTCCACCCCGTTCTGTGTGATGTCATCTATAGCAATTCAACTATTCCCTAGTAACATACTTATATGGATGAAAAGAGCAAATATGGTCAGATGGAAGCTCAATTTTGTGAATGGGTTATAGTAAAATAGAGAGCAATCGAAACAACTTTTACATGGAAGTTAAAATTAATTTGGAAGTGTCCTTGTTTATGTCGCTATTTTTGCAAATTGTTTCCCATTTTTCAATCAAATAAGAACTGAAATCAAACTTTAAAAAAATGACAATTGCCACCCAAAGTTACTCACCAAACATTATTCCCAAACAAAAACAAGTATACAATTGAGTTGCATACATCATTATATGATATTTGTGCATTTGTAAGAGAATGACATAAAAACAATATTCTTTCAATAATTAAAACAATTGATTATGATAATGGAATGGCCTTTTCGCATGATTTCATCATCACAGATAATAATCATATACAAATATGGAAGCGATATAGAGATAAAAATCTTTCATTGTCAATTTTTCAAATAGTAGGTATCTATCTACAAATGCATCTGTCTATCTATCTCTCTATGCCCCATATATTTTAGAAACCATTAGGGGGCACCTAAAAATATGATGATCTCGAGGCATATAGGTCCTCTTTAACTAATGACTATTCAATAATTATCAAACTACTTGTTTTTTAATATTTTGATTCTGAGAAACAAATTTAATTAATGGCATATATTCTGTTATCCCAAAATTGAACTTGTGTTAAGTTTGGGGGTAATATGTTTTTTGGCCCAGTCATTCTCAAATTGAAGTCAGATGTTACCATTTGTCAAACCAAGCGACCCAAGCCTGGCATGAATCATTCAGTCGACCTTGTATCTTGTACAATATTTTCTTAGATGTCTATTGTATGAACAGGAATATAAGTTGGAAGGTGTCCCACATGCGTAAGATGAGTAAGAGTGAAAGCACTTTGGAAATAATTGACATTTGTTCCTTTTGGATCCTATCTAAAAGGTAAAAAGGGCACTTATTGTCATTTACTTTTGTAATGCCTCTTGTAATGCCTCTGAGGTAGATAAGAGAGAGAGAGAGAGAGAGAGAGAGAGAGAGAGAGAGAGAGAGAGAGAGAGAAATAAAGAGAGCAAGAGAGAAGAAGAACAAAAACAAGAAAAAAACAATAAGAAGATAGTTCTGACAAATATAATCTCCAGGCAATCAGATTTGTGAGCTCATGCACCACTGTGCCTGGAATATTTTCAGATTCATGTGGATGTAGTATTAAACAGCAGGATGAAGATATGAATATCAGCATCAAAATCATAAGAATTTAAAGAAAAAGATTAAATATGTTAGGTTCCGACTTAATATTCACCCTGTACATGTTTTATTGTGCCCCGAAATACTTGTTTGTTGATAAATCTTAATTATAAAATTATTTCAGCCTCAGAAGAGTGTTAACTCTGTGTTAAATCACATGATTTAATACCCTTCTGGTCCTAAACAGATAAACAGACAATATTTATAAGAGTATAGTGTAACACTATCAGAGTAAACATGATATTGATTAATGTGTTTTGGTATCTGTACTAGTTGAAATATGAAATGCCCATAAAAGCCTAGCCTGTTCCTTTTTTGGCAACCTACGTACCATTTGCTTTGGAGAATCTTTTTTGTCAGGCTTTATTCATAATCAATATAAACCATTTAGTTTCCATGGTTCGGCCAGGGGCCCGGGTCAGAAAGGTGCATGCCATCCCTGAGTGTGATCAAGTAAAGCAGGAATAATTCAGATATTGTTTAGCATTATCGTGATGGCCCACAGTAATCCTGACTGAAACATCCATATTCAGCTCTCCTAACCAGTGTATACAAGGTTAGGATTAGGGTAAGGGTTAGGGTAAAGGTTAGGGATGCTGTTGTGTTTTTAGTTAGGTTTAGGGTGATCAACAGGGTTTGGTCTAGGGTTGAAGTGAGGATTCTGGTTGGTGGTGGACATTCACTGAAGAGTTACATGTATCATTAGTAGAGCATATGTCGTGTATATAATACCCCTATTTTTTAGCAAAGACATCTGTTTGAAGCTCCTGGGATGAAGGGCAAAGTAGAATAGTCCACTACTAGGTATCTGAAGTGAATGAACTTTTCTACGTACTCCGTACTGTGAACCTCCTTCCTATTATTACAAGAGTCCATTCACCTGCTAGCCTTTCCAGATAAAGGTCAAGCCAGTTTTCCCCCTACCCCAGAGGTCAGACTTACCCCATCCTGGCTTTACGTGGAAGTATAGAAGGGGGTAGTCATGAGTGGTACACAGTTGATCTAGACCCCAAGAGAATATTGTCATTCTTGGATTTTTTATGCCAGCTGCAAGTCTTTCTTTTCCATGAAGTAGCATTAATTCTAAAAGAAATTTAAGATTTAGGAAGTTTATTTGCTGCCGTGTTGAATTGATGAATTCCCTGAAGGGCCAAAAAGAAAAGACTTTTCTTTGAAAATCAATTTTATTAAGAATGTCTAGCTGGTTTAATTTCTTTTTCTTCGTATTGAAGATTATTTCAATGTTTTATAGCCTGTCTGAATTTATTTATAGATTAAGATAAAAGTGGTCTTAGCATACGGAGCTGTTTGATTTTTTTTCATTGTATTCCTGGAACCCTGAAGAAACAATTATAGATTGGAATTAAATATCACCACCACCTGCCCATGATTTTGTTGAAGTATTATATTTAGACATTTTAGATTTGAGATTAAAGGAGATAGGCTACCAAGATAATGATATTTGTATATTTACTATAACTTTAATTGACAATATCAATATATATCAATGAACATCAATATCTGAGCTATCCAGCTGTCAACATTCACACATGTCAGTAACATCCTCTACATAGTTTGGTTGAAAATGAGATAGTGTAAACAAAGCCAGCATTACAAACATGGAAAAACATTACATAACTAGGATACTGCATATTTTTGTTACATTTTGAGTGAAAAATAATTATTATTCTATTGAATTCATCAATGGCATGTGGTGTCACAAAGATAGAAAAAACAAATTCTAGCTTTTTAACCAAGCCAGATATAATTTGTAAAGTCATATTTTTCCTTCATTGATCTTTGAAAGAAATCACCTTTTTACAGTGAACATAACAAACATAGGTCTGTTTACTACTTTGTAGTAAGCATCGGATATTATTCTTACTTCCTAACCAATATATAGTGTATACTTTGTGATTCAACCATATTTCTATCCTTTCAGATATCAAAGTTTGCCTATGGATCTGTAGCAATCTTCTAGCCCTGGTATCTGAAGTAAATGCACATATGCACTGAAAGTCAACTTTTCAGATATACACTGGATATTTTGTATGTCTTCAAAGTATTTTCTTTTTGTACTTGACAGGCATAAAAGTGCACGGAACAGTTAAAAGTTATCAACAATTTGGTCATGACCATGGAATCATTTGATAGATGTATCTGTGTTGGATATATGTACAGACTGAAGCTCTAATAACAATGAATATTTGGTAAACAATGTAATACAAAAGTCAGTCATGTAGTTTAAGTATTGTAAGATACCCCAAACATGTCAATATGTATTTGTATGCTACGCATAAAACCATTTCAGTTGTACTGGTTCACACTACAAGCTACTTGATACTTTACAAAATCAATCTAATCTGCATCACATCATATTCAACTTCAATTTTGACTTTTGTAACACCCACCTGCTTCCTTGATGTTAAAATGGAGCATTATTTACAAGCTCTATAGCCTGCAGTTCAGGTGGAATGGGTTTTTCCCATCACCAACAAAATCGTATTTAATTTTTTTTTTAAAATATAATCTGAAGAAGATGCGCTAATCCTCCCCTCTTTTTCCATGGATTAGTTTACCTACTCCAGACTTGATACAATGTACAACTCAATTCATTAACTGCATTAAAAACCCACTCAACTTGAAAGCAAGCTACAGCTTCAGAGCTCATCAAATCACAAAAGTGGGCATTTGACATTATGCCATGATTTATGGGTAACATATTTGTACATCTTAGCTCAAAGCAAACAAACGTACGATATAAATCACATGAAATATATACATTCACATATTATTTATATGATTTATTAAGATAGAGATATGTTATTACACACCTGGATTTATACTTTTTCTAATAAGAATGTCAGTGAAATATAGAAAATTTGAGGAACTAGAGGAATGATTATTCAACTTTATTGATATATTTGGTGGTTAGCCTCACAAATTTGTTTAAAAAACATAAAGCTGGCATTTTATCAGGGAGTGGGAATTAAAATGAGCCTGAAACTGGTTTTATTGATGCATAGTGCAGTTTTGTGGAAAGTTTTATTCTCTGAAAGTGAAAGACAAATAAGAAGAAATTTTTTAATATTCATGGATGATTTTTAGGGGTATATTTGTAAGTTTATTTATATACTTGATTGATAGTGATGGTTGTACTTTGGTGGTTTCATAGCAGTTATCCCTGCAATAGCATATAATATGCCCAAGAAAAAGGGAGACGGATTCGTCTCGCCTGAGCTCACTCTAACGCATCTTTAACAAACAGGTTTAAGAAACATTTCAAAAGTAAATTACTAGGAAAGTAACTAAGTTAGCATTGCAAATGTTGTTAAATATGCCTTAGTATATTTATTTGTACAAAAAAACATCATATAGGATTCAAATATTTCCAGAAAATGACCAGGAAGATGACTATTTGGCCACTCTCTACATTGTAGCATTTTCATAGTATCTTGTACTATACACTCCACTTTGATGGTTACCAGTATATCATTTTACTATGTCTTACAATATTCACAGCATAAATTCTTTAATTACGGAGATAATATATATTCATTCTCTATTTAGACTAATTGATATGTATTTCTGTGATAAACTTTGTATCATTTAGTTGAACTGAAGAATAAAGAAATACAAACTTGTTGGCAAATTTGATAAAGTCCTTGGGTAAACTCTTTGAAATATCATACTCTTGGAATATGGGTACAGGAGTTGCCCTCCTACCAGGGCCAGGGGTACATCAGTGTCCCTCTATTCAAGGAAGCTGGTGTTTGACACACTTATGGTAGTCATTGTTCTTCTGCCACTTGCACTTGTGTCCATGCCGCATGGTGCAACGTGAGTGAGATGCGATGCAGTCATAAGGGCTGTAGGCGTCCCCTATGTGGACTTGAGATGCATCATACAGACAGGTGGTTGCTCGGTTCTCCTTGGGTTTCTTGCAGTGTCTGCTTGAGGTACAGGAATGGATCTAGCAGTTTGAAGATAAAGAGGGGGAAAGAAGACACCATTGGTAATGTAAAGGCCATATATGCAGTGTCTTTTGATGTAGACTGTGACATATGAGTCTTTCAAGTGTACAAATTGAATTTTCTTCAAAGAACTTAACTTTTGGGTCACATTTTCAAGAAATTAGATGTAAAGCAAGCTCATTACTGGTCAATCCCTCATTTGTAGCAGTGAACCAGTTTTAAGACCATATTATAGATTGTATTAATTGATTCAAGTTGAGATTTCAGAAGGAATCTGATACATTTTTTAGATCTGTGACAAACCATCCCCACATTAAAGCATCTTATTCTTCTTCTTCTTGGCCAGCAACCTAGTTGGCTATTTGATTATCCTGTCTTTTTGAATTTGGTCATCTTGTTTAGTCTTTTGTCACATATTGGGAGGCAGTAAGGTTTAGAGGATAGGGCAAAGATCTTAGAAACAGGGTAACTTGGATTTGAGACCAATCATATGCACTAGTAGTCCTTTACATTACAGAGTACATCAGATGGGACTTGAAGCCCTACCGGTTCCCCTGAAGCTCACTTACCAGGATATCTTTCCTGTCTTGGCACCCCAAATAGTCAGTGGTGTCACTAAACATTTTGAATCATTTGGGTGTCACCTATCCCCCTACTTTTCTTTATAGTGACACCCCTGAAGATAGTTCTGTCACACACTTACCTGGCAGACATCGCAAGACTTTCCATAGATTGTCTTGAGTCCCTGCTTCTGTCTGGTTGTCAGCTTATGATGTTCTTGAACCCAGTCACAGAGCACTACTTGGTTTGCACTTGAACCTGGGTTTGAAAGATCATTTCAGGGGATAGGAAATTAGGTTTACATTTACATACATATTGGTATATGTGTCCAAAGAAGGAATACATGAAAGAGATCAATATAAGGCAATCTTATTGTTTCATCATTAAATCTGTGTTGCCCTTCTGTCCAAGGAAGAAAAAAAAGAGCAGGTCCTATTTATGAACATATTTTCATTGAGATTTCAAACAAGATCAGTATGTTTAACTAAAGGCAAAAGTCGTGGATTGTCTATATACCCGGTGCTTCAAGTTTACAATTGGGGTTCCAAATTTCTTGATCTCCTAGTGAACCCCTGCACAGTGTCAACATTTTCTCTGTCTCATGCCTGCAGAATACATGCAGAATGGCATCATGTGTGCCTTTAGACAATCTTTAAAGATTGAAACAGTGAGATATTACTCGCCTGCAATGAGGTAATTCTTTCCTGTCTTGAGGTCTGTCTTGCCACACAGACTAGAGGCAGCAGAGCTATCAACCTGTACTTCATCACCTAGCTTCCAACCTTCTTGCCCCATCCCTGTCTTGTAGATGTGGCTCAGTTTGAGGGTGTAGATGATCTTGTAGTTCCAGGCCTCCATGCTCTCAGGGTCGATGATGCGCTCCTCTGTGAATGAAGAGAATATGAAGCAAAGCCTAGGTTTAAAAAAGCAGACTGCATTAATCAACTTGATTTATGAAGTGTCATACATACTAATGATGACACTAAGGGAGAAGACTTATGGACCAGTAATGGAGTCAGTGTGACTTAAGCTATTGACTACTGAATTATCTAATTTATTTAAGATTAACACAGATTACTCCCCCCCCCCCCCCCCCCTTCCAGTAAGCAATAACGCATCACTTCATAAAACTGCTCTATACTTCCAGTAAATTTGTAACTGTATGAATGATTTTTTTTTGGTTAAACTTCATTTTGTCTATTTTAAAAATTCAGTGTTTACTTCTCATCCTTTATGCTTAAAGGATGTATTCTTTCATGTTCAATAAATACTACTGATTGTTTTTTGTTGTTTTAGTTTAGTTTAATAGAGTATACTCATTATACCTTCTGCTATGGGCTCTTCGGCACCTATTGTAGGCTCCAACAGAACAGTTTCATTGGAAGGTTTCTCCTGTGGAGGAAGGGTTGTCATGGTGTGGGATTCATCTGTCATCACTAAATCTGGAGGTGGAGTTGTAAGTGTTGTGATGGTATCCTCAAGAGGCTTCATGTCCTCTGGTAAGGGCAAGGGTGGCAATGCCTCATGGGTGTGGGGTTCCTCAGGGAGCGGTTGTAGGCCCTCTGGATGGGGTAAGGGTAGGAGACCCTCAGGCTGACCTAGAGGTTCTGGACCACCCTCAAAGGGCAGGGGTTGGAGCCCTTCAGGTTGCTGGAGTGGTTGGAGTCCAGCAGGTTGAGGGAAGGGTTCTAGACCATCATTCTGAGGGTAGGGTTGGAGCCCATCTGATTGAGGAATGGGGGCAAATAATCCATCATTCTGGAAAGGATCTGCAGCCTCAGGTAGAATGGGAGGCCCTAGACCATCTGGATAGGGAAGAGGTTCCAAGGGTTCCAGGTCCTGCAACTGTCTGCCTCCATCACCAAACTGCTCGCTTGGTAGTCTTTCATCCGGGAGACGATGGAGACCTGTTCCAGGGTAGGGACGAGTCCTCTCACCCAGGGGCTCAATGGCAGCATGATCAGAACCCAGCAGTCCCGTGCTGAAACCAAGACCTCTGGGATTCTTGGGGATGTACTCTCTCTTCAGAACCCTTGCTCCAATCACTGTCAAATCGGAATGAAAAGTACACAAATATTTTGCATTATGAATAGGTTATTGTGATGCTAGCATATTTGTAAATACTGTATTTTTTTTTCTTCTGACATTGTCCATTTGGAGCCAGGTAAAATGCCTTATGGCTCCAAACAGACTGTTTGTACTCAATTTAAAGCCTATCTGCACTAGTTTGGCCAGGAGGGATTAGACCTCCCTGCATGGTCACTGACAGGTGGTTATCTCATCAAATCAGCACTGAATTAACATAAGATAAAGGGGACCATGGGGACCAACGGTCACCGCTTAGGCATGGTTTGCTATATAGAGGGCGCAAGTAGCTATACTTAGTGCAGTGGGGCTTTAATGACTATTGAGTAAATATATTCATTGACTTTATCAACTATTTGATTGCTTTCATTATCTTAATTTTCATTTTTTGTTGGGGAACTTACAGTCATGGAAAAATAGGAAAGAGAGCTGTATTACTGTGCCTTACTTACCAGTACAATTAATTTCATGTTTATCAGTTATTTGTGAAACAGCATCATCAAGAAATCCACAGAAAATCTTAACTTCATGGATGCCCAATATTTGTCTCATATATGCAGTGTAGTCATGCTATCATGGGTAAGGACTAGGAGGCGGTAATGGGCAATCAAAATTCTGATGCACCAATTATCCCCCAAAATATTCCATTTGTATTCAGAGACAACATAGCACTTCACCGCAATGCAGGCTTCGAGCTTCCATTTATGAATAATACCCTACGGCAATCATTCCTGTAAATGGGATATTCAATACCCATTTATGCAGCAAAGTATATCAAACATAGGTCTCGAAGAGTGGTAGCATAATACTCCATCCTCCTTATAGCCCCTCATCCTCCGCATCCAATATAATTGCATCTTCTCTGCATCAACCTAATGTCAAATACACTCAGCTGTATTCCTCCATTATCTGCAAGAAAATCGAAGAGGCCTGTTTTTGAGGTTGGTGTGTAGCTTGCCTTTCAGGGGAAACAACTTTATTTTCGGTGCTTGAAACAAACATGCCATAACAACAGGAGAAAAGATGACGGAGGCATGATTTAAAGTTATTATATTTCATATTTTCAATAGAAAATGTTGAGCATAAACCAGGGGCAAAGCAATTTGAAAGTTTCATTTAGAAAAAATCTAATTGTTTGGTGGAGATGGTTAAGATAGCAATTTGCCTCTATTTCTCTTCTTTGGTTTCCCTGTCCATCTAGTCAAAATTATACTAAGAATGTTCAGTAATGTACAAATTGGTTTCCTGAAAATGTTTAAATCAGTGTTGTTGTTTTTCATGACACCTTGAATTTATTTTGTTTCACAGTACCACAAACAGTTGAACTGATCTACCATCTAACATCCAGTGATGGAGAAACTAAGTGAGATTACAGTAAAGCTACAGCAGATGTTGTGTGATGCAGCTTAACCTGTTGGCTATTGAATTCACCATGGCATAGCTTTATTCTATAGGAACCACCTAGTTCTAGTAGGCAAGGGGTTAACAGATAAATGATGTTACCAGTGATATTCGAGTCCTCTTCGATTGCTGCTCATTATACCTAGTGGGCCTTTTATTGATTCTCCTGGAAACCCTCTCCCTCAAAAAAAAAAAGATTCCTCTGCTTTTTCCCCTTCATTACAGTTCTTATCTTTACTTCTCTTTGTTTTTTTTAAACCTCTCATAGTGTCTTTATCTGGTTATTTTTTTATAATATAATGTCTCTTTATCTCTGTTTTTCTTTATAAATGTCCATCTTTAACCAATTTATTGACTTTTTTTTTGCAGAGGAGTATGTCACTATGTAAATGATCAGTTAATCATCTTTTTGTTTATCACATTGGTTGGGCCTTTGCTCACCTCACACCAAAAAGGAATGCTCTAGTCACATATATTTATTTAAATACTTTGCTGACAATTGAATTCCACAAGTCATTCCTCCTCTGTCTGTCTGTTTGTCTTTCTTCCCAAACCATTTGGCAATCCTATTCCCCCTCTCCTTTCATCTTCTCACCATCTCTACCCCTCCCCCCCCCCCACACACACATCATCCACCCCATCCTCTGTTTCTACCTCTTATCCGCCCCCATTCAAGCTCCTCTTCGCACACTCACAACCACTCTATCTTCTCAGTAACCCCCCTCCCACCCACCCACCCACCCATTAACCGCATTCTTCATATATCATCCTCCATTCTATCCTCATCTCCTTTCAACCACATTCCCTCAACCACATTCCCTCTCCTTCTAGCCTCTCCACACTACTCTCTTATTCCACTCCCTCATCCAGACTACGTATCTTTAGACACCCCACCACATTCTGTACCCCATCCTCCATCTCGTTCCAGACCTCTTTATCTACCTCAGCCCTTCTATATTTATATCTATCCTAGCCATCCCCATCCCCTGCCCACCCCTATCAAACACACTATCCAACCTATCCTCTATAAAGAAGATAGTGGAATTCACTCTAGACATGTTATCTACCCAATCCCTTCTTCCACTTACTATCTGCTCACCCCCCCCCCCCTCACCACTAACCGATCAAGCACATACTCCTTCCATACCTCCAATTCTCCCAGTCCCTCATTACTTTGACCCACTCTTGTTTTCTTATCAACCCCCCCCCCCCCTCCCATACCCCTACCACCCCATCATCTACTCATTCCTCTCTCCATTCTCCATCTCTTCCCAACCCCCTCCCCCGGTGGGGTCACTCAATGTGACTTCCGGACCGCATGACCGTTACCAAAATCGCGGAAAAAGGGGTCAATTTCAAGCAATGTCCGCGGACAACATATTCCTCGAAATAAAGAAAATAGGGGGGCACAGGTGTCCCCGAAATTGATAAATAGGGGTCAGGAAAAGGGAAAAGAGAAAACCGGGAAGGGAAAAGAGAAAACCGGGAAGAGAAATTCTCGGAGCCGAGTCTTGTCCTTGAAATATGGTAAAATAGGGGTAAATTTGCGAAAGTGTCCTTACAATCTTATAAATAGGGGTATTCCAAAGTACGATTTTTTCCTTGTTTTGACGTAAAAAAGGGGGTTAAATTTCACAAAATGTCCTTGAAATTGACCGCAAAAGGGGGTTATATGCATTGGTGGTAAGGGTCATATGTGTCACTCTTTGCAGGGGAGTGACCCCACCGGGCCCCCTCCATTCCCTTTCTACCTCATTTGACTACCTCCTCCACCAACCCCCCCCCCTCACCCTCCATCATCCCTTTAACCCATCAACCCCATCGTCTATTCCATCCTCTATCTTCTCCCTCCTCTTCCTCCTTGAGGCTGCATCTTCAGATGCTGATCTTTCCTGCCCTCTCTCAAACCTCTTCCAAACCTTCCCTGTTCAGGTTGATAGCTTGGCAAATATAATCAGAAAAATACTTCCGTGAGGATCCGATTCCCTCTCGTACTCCTGTATTACTTGACACCTTACCCCATCCTTGGGGGGCTCTTTCAATATCAAGCCAATTGATGGGGTTTTCTGTGTCGCTACCTCCGAGAATGTTGCCCAGGCATGTTATTTGCTGAGATAATTTTTCTACCTGAATTTCCTTTGAAATCATAATCAGAAACATGATTATTTTTTAGAATATACAGCCCTTTACCCCTCTCTTTCTATTGTTATTTACTGTCCTGTTTTCTCTATATACTCGCTTTTTTTCTAATCCCAATGGGCCTTTAATTAACCAGCTTAAGCTGAATAACCTATACATAATATCAGATAATACACTGTAGGCCATGAACAGATATCCCATGTTTATTTTGCTAATTAAAACGAAAATCACACATTTCCTCTCAACTTCAAATGGCAAATATCTTTTTCATTCCTGCTTCATATTCATTACAGTTTTTTTTTTAATTAAAAAAAATCCCATCATGTTTGAGTTGAGTTACTTGATTACCAGAAGTTAAGTTAACCTTTAAGATGGCCACCTTGTGTGATTGTTTAATGATATCACGCTGACTCAGCATACAGACAGGATGGGTCTATTTAATGGGTAAATATAGAATATAGCTTGTCAATATACATGTATATCATAATCATCGTGTAGCTTTAGTCAATGTAGGTATTGGTACCTACTGATATAAACTATGTCAACAACCCTAATCAAAACAAAGTAATCTAAACATAGTAATAAACAAAATAGTGAAAAAGCAGCACAGAAAGTATTCATAATCTTATATCTTTCTTTTTTTAAACTCTGAATATATTTTTCATTTATCTTTTTTTGCACAAATCCTTATCCTGAAAATATTTTTTTGATCCATTTCTCCATTTTTGTCATAAGAAAATGGAAGAAATGATTTAGTTTTTTTTTAGGAAATACCATGAAAATATAGAGAAAATTATAAAAAAAAGTGTGTGGAAAACGACGAGGGAGGTATTAGCATTAGATTAAGGTTTAGTGATTATGTTACAGTTACAGCTCACCTAACCTAAAGGCTACGTAGGTTTCAAGTTTTGTTTAGGGTTAGCATTAGACATCATGTTGGGTCCTGGTTTAAATTAGTCAATGTCAGGAAGTGATTGTACATAATTAATGCGTTTGTCTCAGGAGCATGTACCATACAGTCACTTGGAGAGAATGATACTGGTTGTATTGTAGGTAATGAAGTTATTTGTGATACATGTCTATGAAGAGCAGCACTGTTTCCACTAATATGATTGTATATGGTATGGTTTATTAAAGGTTGTAAGCTGTAGATGTTTTTGCGATCAAATATTTTATTCCTATCTCAACATCAATCTATATCATTAAAATACATCACTTGTGTACATAAAAAATATGTAAGATATTGGCTACAATCTCAAAATATTGCATTACTGTTTATAAACATTTGTCTGATAATAGTTTCTGTAAGGAACATTTAAGTTTGTATTTATTGTTCTTATGAGTAAAAATAATTTTCTTCTGTGATTGAAAGATAACTGATACTTGCTAGCTATTTTTTACTCTGACGTATATTCATGATTCAAATTTTGCCCACATTTCTTTTATTTGATAAGAAAGGGAGGCGCATATTTCCTTCCAAATATTTTATATGTTGCTATGGAAGAATAGTATATAGATTGGCCTTGGAATTCAATCTACATTGATATAAATCCATGGCATAGAACTGGGCAAAACAAAAAACCAAAGCGAGCAAATTACATTAGTTGCATTTACCCTGGAAAGGGCAAATCAAGCATTAGATGCGTTGTGAAAACATTGCTGCGTTCAGGCCAATTGAAACTGCAAAAAATAGTCGGATGAGGAAATTGAATATAATGTTTGGGAAATGCTTGTGGGAGTGTGTTGAAACAAGGTAACCACAAACATGCCTGTGTATTGGGGGTATCAATGAGTTATGAACAATGAAAAGAAAGAACTTCAGGAGACAAATCGTCCGAAGAAAAAAATATGAAATTGCTCGATATGTTTAGTGTACTAAAAGGAAAACTACCAGCTTGAAATATTATGTATGGAACAAAATATTACAAGTTTGAATACCAAACCCATCATGCTAAAAGCAACTGCCAAATGGACTTAAACTTATTAATTAGCTTTTCAATAGATCATGAAAATAGTTAAATCAAGTATTAATTTGTCCTAGAGTGTAGTAAGAACTTCTCAGAAATGTTTATAAATTAACATAATAGGGGGGAAGCTATCTTTGATTTTTTAGTAAGAATAGTTTTAGTCCTAACAAATGCATGGTACAAACCATCCCATAATCATAAAGAACTTATCATGACAAAAGAACTTATTGCAAAGGGATTCTGCACCGTTGTCAAAAACCCTATAATCCTTATAGGCTCTTTTTAACATATATTTTGACACGTTGAAGGGTACCTTTAAGCTATAAATTGATGTTGTCACCTGCAGGAGACAAGGTACATTAATCCATGAATGATAATTGGAAATCAAGACTTTTTTAACGAGGAGATTGGAATGTGGCAAAGGATCATTGACGTCACTTGCTGGCCCACTCAAAATTAATTACCTAGATGTTATAATGATCTACTAAAATAGTATTTAATGTTACGTATATATATATATATATAGTGATTGATGTGAAGAGATATGTTTGCTTTATGCCTTACAATTTACAAGAATGATGGTGAGAGGGGGTTTATTATGAATGCTTCAATTTGATTTTGTAGAATTGTTTCAAGCTGTAAAACTTGTTGTTTATTTCAGGAAGATTCTGCAAATAGCAGCCCTTAAGACACATCATCACAGATTAAATTCTTCAGTACAAAAGTAGAAAGTAGAAATATTATAAAAATAGCATGGAATTTTCAGGTCCATGAAAATGTGAACTAGTATAGTTTATTTTCATATAAATAGGGAAAACATGGAAAGCAATATACCTGATAAATTGTCCAAGAATGATGCAAGAAATTCATCATATTCTGTCACTTTATAAAAATACCTTATTTGAATGTTCAAGTGGATGAATTCTCCTTTGTCTACTGGAACATGTACATTCACATCAATAGCAAATCTTTTCCTCTATTAGTACAATCCCTATCTTTGAAAGTTCACAGTTTTGGGGTCACCGTAAAATGTCAGCAAAGCTGCATTTACACTGCAAAGTGCAAATCAAAATCATTTTTTTTTTTACATTCAGGTGTTTGGCCAAAGTTGCTAGTCAACTACCCGTAAACACAAAGAAAGACCCAAACTATTAAAAAAAAAAAAACACCTCTGGGGTATTTTTTAAACGTCAGCAAAAATTAACAAAAAACAAGGGTTTTTCAAAATTGGTTTTTGTGCTGTGTAAATGGGCTTCTTGAGAATGTTTGTAATCCTGAAGACAGTACGTGGGTGAAATCCCAACGTATAGCCTCAGAGCAGTGCATATTATTACTCCTACTTTCCTGCTCAAAGTTATTCTTAATCAATAATTATTACTGTATACTAAGTTATTCATACCTTTGTACATTTTATGTTTTTGTATTTTTCATAACTCAAGAATAAAAGGTGAACTTGTTGAATTAAGGCCTTTGTTGAATACTTTTAGATTTAAGCTTCAATCTGTCACATTTTCAAGAAACATAAATGGGGCCAAATCAATTTTTTCACGTACTTAAAACATTACAAAACTTGGTAAGAGTATGAATAATTTAGTTGCTAACTGTATATCATGCTGAGAGCCAGAGAGGCTTTATTTTAGTTATTAATGATTTACTTAGATTAATGATTTTCTTGCTCTCAGAACATGGTTCGGATACTCTTATGTTTGAGAACAGACAATACAATGCTGTCAACTTACAAGCTAAGCAAAAATAGTTGTCGATAGTGGTTGTATATAATAAATTGGTGGATTTAAAAAGGTGGATGCTGTTCTTTTGTAAGCAGTGCCACAAACATGATCTTTAATTCATTAGATATGATTTGATTTTGATCCAACACACGTTTTTATAGACTTCACCCCATTTCCGTCAGGCTTAATACTCAATGTGTTTGCATTCCAAATCACCAAAAGAAATTTACATCATAGATCAATGTTTTTTTTTTGTATATCAAATTTGTAAATAAGGCATTTTTCTATCCACATTAATATCCCTGTAAAGGTGTGGAATAAGGGATTCAAATAGCCAAAATAATCTTTGAAAACATTAGATTGCAGTAAAACATTACTTAACTTTAAAAAAAATTAACAACACTTCAGTAGATTTCAATTATCCACCAGAAAAAGAAAAAAAAGTAGTAAGTCAACCATTAAAATGGCCACAAAAGGTGATTCAGTTCTGAGACTCAGAAACTGTTATACCTTCATGCTGCCCTGTGTTTTTAAAGTTACATAAAACACTGCACTGTGTTCTCTATATTACCTATGGTTACTATAGAAGTTGGATCCAACAGTTAATATCTTATGATGAAGGCAAAATATAAATTCAATTGAATTGTAATTTCTTCTCTTTGGAAATCTGTAAGCAAGTATTACATTCCATTAGTTAAATTGCACCTTCCCCAAAAGTCAGTAATGACAATTAGAAATAAATTCATTAGTAGTGATACATGCCTTTAAAACTTACCATAGGAAGCTCTACAGAATTGCTGCTGAGGGTGTGCCCCTTCACAGCTACACCCCTCTGCCCTGGGCGCCCCTAAGAACAGCAGCAGAACAGAGCACAAAGCTATGTAGATACTCAGCCCCATAATCTCCATTTTGAATACTCCTTTATCCAGCTAACACGAGACAGTGATGGTACAATGACGAGTGTTAGAAGGTAGTCAACGTAGCCTGTGACTATAGCTGTGGAGAATCCGACAACTTGCCTGAGATTAGCCTCTCGTTCAGCCTTGGAAACTTTTGATGTCGTCACTGGGATCTAAATTTGGGTGCTAGTGGCCTAATTAGCCGTGAGTGCTAGCTGTGCCAGTATTGCGCTTTCCACTTTCCAATCAGATTAAAACTTATGTCCCAAATCCAACATCTCCTCCTACGAAAGACAATATATCCTTTCCCAGTTTGAATTGGAGACTTGCGTATGATTTATTCATACAAGCGTTAATCAATAAAGCAGGCAGTGGATTCCATCTAGCTAGCAAGGTATGCTCCTAATACAATTTCAGAGTGTGGTGACTGATTGCAAGACAATCAGCAGAATACAAACTCTCTTTCTAGCTCTCCCCTGCATGCATGCCCCTCTGGAGGTTGACTTCACAGTGGATTCCCACACAGACCTGCTGCTCTATTATTCATTGCATCGATCCACCAGAGCATCTTTTCTCCCTAAATGAAGGTTTCTTCTGATCAAGAGCAAGTACTAAGAGAAAACGTGAGAGATGGAGAGTAAGTGAGAAAGAGAGAAAGAGAGAGATGTAGTAAGAGAGACCAAAAATGATGGAATGGTTCGCTGATGGCAGAAACGATAATTCACTTGTTGTACATTGCTGCCTGATCTAATAAAGCCGCACTATGGCTCCGGGACTGGGATACCAGATCCCCTGTGCTGAAGATGCTTAAAGTTGCAGTAGATATTTTCCTGGCTCTATATTAAAGCCAAGCTCAAGCCTCTGTTCCCTCAAGATCTGTGTGAGTCTCAAGTACGCCACCTCCAACGAGCCCCCAGCTTAGCGATCGTGTCAATATTGGGATGTTTATGCATGTGTGTCTCTCCTGAGGGGCATGCAAGGATTTTGAATGTGAGAAGAAGAGTGAGAGTTTCTGAGAGGGAGACGGAGAGAGAGAGAGAGAGAGAGAAGGGAGATGGGGTTGGGAGGGAAGGGGAAAAATAAAACAATACCAAAGAGAAATAAATGATTCTTTCAAAATGGATTTGACCTGGAAGATAAGTTTTCAGAGAAAATATATGAAAGAGAAAATGAAATTATAACTGAACTTACAAGATATTGTGGACATAAAACTGGTGAGTTTGTGGTGTAGAATTTCAAGAAATTCAGTAATAGGAGCACGTAGAGAGTTCTTGAAATGGATGCAATCAGTAGGGTTGGGAAAAAGGTCAGAGGTGTATTTGAAAACAAGGTCAAAAAACAGAATTGAATAAGAAAGAGAAATGGAGAAACTTGTCAGACAATGGATGAGGTGAAACTGATGAATCTGCTTTGAAATTGAGAATAAGAGTTGAATGAATGTGAAGATTCTAGAGAAAGGATGAGAAGGTTAGTACATGTATGTTAAGTTTGAGCATAGATGTGTACTTTGTATACCTGGAATATTGTCTCTTTATTTTTTTGAGAAGATGGGAAAATGGACGAGGGAGAAAGGAAATGAGGTAGGGCCATGGAGAAGGAGGTTGTATTGGAGATGAAATAAACGGATGAGGGAGGGAATTGTTGTTTGGCAGAAAAGAGAGGATTTAATTGATCTGAAATATGAGAATTCTAATGGATGGTAACTTGAGCATAAAGACCTTGCCTTGAGATGGGTTAGAGAGATGCATACTGAAGATGCTTTGATATTGAATCCTGTCAGAGCAGAGATGATAAAGGGATAAGGAAGAAAAAGGTATCATTCACCTTCCATTATCTTATTTTGAAGGAGGCTTGAAGTGTATAAAAGGAACATTTTGGATGAACAAAATAAATACATATTGATGATAAAGGGACCAAAATAGAACCAAAATATGACAAAATTCATATTAATATATGAAGAAAAAAACAGTAATAAAGAATTAAGCAAGCAAATTAATAAATCACAAAAGAGGAGATAAATTAAAGAAAAATATAAATTACAGGAATACAGGAAGATGCCTTAGAAGTAGTTTCAGCATAAGACCCCCCCCCCCCCCCCCCTCTCCACTTTTCTTGCGAAGGAAAAGGTTGGAGTGAAGCTGACAAAGTGAGAATTGATGAGTATATTATTGTGTTTGCATTGGGATAAGACTAGGAATCTGTATTTTACTTGATTGTCAAATATAGATGTAGATAATAACATCTGCTGAGAGTAAGAAAGGTGTTAACTATATGCAGAAGTGTTTGAGGTAACACCTAGCTTCTGACTCTCATCAGATGATAGTTATGTTTCTGAGAATGCCTTCTCACAACATACCAGAGGCTAAAGGTTGCAAATCTAAAGAAATAAACAGAATCCTTTTATGACAGCATGACAGGTATTTGAAGGGAAGGAGCTAGAATAAGATATTGGGGTTGACATGACTAAAGAAGAAAGACAATGAATAAATCAAATGAAATTTTATAAGTTAGTGAGCCCATACATCCTGATATCATTTAGATAGGATATCATATTTGCTTTGTGTCCATATACTGGGCTCTGTTATCTTTCGGATCAAAATTCAGAGTTGATTGGAAAATTAATAATTCAGATGAAATGCATTTCCCTTTTATTTGGGTTAATGAAGAATGATAAATATGTATATTTAGAAGTAAGTAGAATGTTTAAAATATATAGAGAGAGGGGGGGGGGGCAGAGGGGGAGCACAAATGAATGGACTGTATATGTACATGCAGTATCTGTTGTATTCCAATACACACTTACAATGTTATCTATGCAGATATGATTATATATTCACATTGAAATGAATCATTCTGCCAGACTGAATATTATCAGATCAACACATACTCATTCATCCTAATTGTATTCTCCAATGAATACATCATTTTTTTCCTGCCAAGTGTAGATTGCTCTCCGAAAAAACACTCTTTCTTATCAGATTCTACGCAAAGACACATGGGGTAATCAAGTTCTTTCCATTTAAGAATTGAAAGGACTTTCTTCTTTGTGGTTTTTTAATCTTGATGCAGCGATAGCAATATTCTTTTTGAGCCGCACTCTTGATCGTTCCCGTCATGGTAGAGATTGAAACCGTAAAGGTGAATCTGTCGGATTCCATTTGTGGGCAAATCTTTTATTTTGCTTTGGTTGCCCTCACGCTGGTTTCTCCTAGTTCACTGAGATGATAGTTTCATCTGTTGAGAGCCAGAAAGGGCATTAACTCTGTGTTCTAGTGTATAAGATAATGTCCTTCTGGCTTGATATTGATATTGATTGTTGCAGTGGGGATTTTTTTCTTCTCTTTTTTTGTTGTTATATATTTAAAAAAGCAGTTCATATTGGTGGATGGGTAGCCAAAACACCTCCTTACAGTTTGTAATACCATTTAAAGGGCCAGGATAAATATTTCTGCGGTGATAAATGCTCAGTGTAGTTGTTGTTTTTGTTTTTTTAAATTCACCTTGGAATTCAAAATGGGGTCATGAATTGGGAACTTTGAACACAACTTGTATATTGGAACACCCTTTTTTAATCAAGATAAACAATGCAATAGCAATTATATAAAAAAAATTAACTCACAATATTAACTTTCTCATATATGATATAGAGTAAACAACTAAATTATTCATACCCTTTTAAATTTGATATGTTTTTTTGTGGCTCAAGAATGAAAGGTGGACTAGTATAAGGGCTTTTGTTAAACATTTTTTAGATGTAAGCTTCAATATGTCGCATTTTCAGAAACATAAATGTGGGACAACTAAATTTTTGACATACTTAAAAAACTACCAAACTTGTTAAGGGTCTGAATAATTTAGTTGTTAAATGTATAAAGTATCTCTACCGGATAGTGTTGATGTAATGGTCACTCATGTGTTATAGTAAAGGTATGAAGGATATATGGAACATTTACTTCAGCTCATGAGAGCTTGCTGCAGATATCATCTCACAATTAACCAAATTGAAAAATTATCCCGTCTGAAACGTTACTCAGAGGCTACATCTATGCTCCTGCGGTGAAAGGATGGAAATAGCATCCCAATTAAAGTAAATGTCAATGCTTACCCTTGGGCTACAACAAACTTCTGAACATCAACCCAACTAGGGAGTGACTTTTTAAACTTTCCTGTTACATCCTTAGCGGTGGATAGCAACGGAGTGTGTCGCTAGCAACGGTCCAAAGCATAGACGGTGAGAGAAGGCGAGCCATGCAGAGCGAAGGGGAGAGGGAGTGGAGGGGTTTAGAGGAAGGGGAAGAGGAAGGAGTAGAAGGAGGGGGTGAGGGTGAGAAAAAAATGTTCACCGACCTTCAATTCCATTCACATCCAGATTGGTCTGTTACTTATGTGACCTTTGATGAAACATTAACCCTATTGCTGCAGACATTATCACTGAAACACTAGAGGATTATTTGTACTTTTCAATATTTTTACATCTTGTAAAATTTCCTTTAAAATATATTTTACTTTGTAGTTTATATATTTTATGTTCTTTTCATGTTCCCCTTTAACATGATCTATTTTCAAAAAAACAGTACTGTATTGTATATCCAAAGAAATCACGTTTGCATTACATAAGACGTTACTGTCAGGTTTGCACATTTCACCTTAAATTGATTTTTCTAGAGAAGTTGTGATTTTAATCTTTACTTTCACCTTTGAAAATATGGTATGTATTTTTTTTTTTTGGGGGGGGGGCGGGGCAGGGTCACTAAGAAGGGGATATTGTGCCTGCTGACAGCAGATGCTGGACTTTAAAATTACATTCTCCTTTGTCCTATTTCATGCAATGTCTCTCTTTCCTAGCGAAAGATGGAATTTTAAAGATAATACACAAATTTCTTGACATAACTGTGTCTGTGCCTTAAAAATACGTTTTAAAATGTTATTGATTCATTAAAAAACTTCTTACAAAGGTATATACTCAAAAGTTTTGAGGGAAAAAAAAAAGACAATCACTTTGCAGACAATTGCCTTGCCAGGAAACAAAATTTCAAGTGGGTGTCATGCCATGCCAACCAGCCATAGTTGTTAGATTCATCCACTAAATGACTGATACATTGGTAATTCTAACCTTTGAACATGCCCAGGTGGGATTAAAATTATACAAATTGTCTCCAGTTTATGTCCTACATGGATAGGGTCCTAAATCATATCATGAGTTTGGTTTTGATGTTCTGGTTTACTAGAGAGAGGGCGCAAGTCAGATGTGATAAATCGTTGTGATACATGAAGAAATATGATACATTGTCTCTTGTGTCGCCTGATGATGTGATTATTGACATGCGAAAGTCTCTGCTGATGGTTTCAGCCATGAGTAAGCAGCAGATGCTTTTCTGAAGGGATATCTTTGTCATAAGATACAAGATTACAACTTGCAATTTAATGAGTAGTAGAAATCATGCATTTACAAATACACCTGGGAAATGTCACAATTCCTAGAAATTTCACTTTTTAATAAATGTTTCATTTTTTAGTCCTTTCTATTTTTGAATTTGAAACAAGAGTTTGACACAATGTCATTGATTTCACTGCATGCTTTTGTCATCTTCAATCAGATGCTGAGAATTAGACTTTGAATCAAATCTTCAGGGATACACATATAGACATGTTTGGCGCACAGATAAATTGTGGAAAAGGTGATACAGAGAGAATGTCATAATTAGCTTTACAAACATTTCTGATATTAAATACTACACAGTCACAGTAAAAGTTACGTTTAAAGACAAAAGTTTTTTCCCCCTTTTTGACATATTTACTAATCTCTAAACATTG